AAGCTTTCCTGGAGACTCCCTTGAAGCACTGGAAGGCCCCTATAGTCTCCCTGGAGCATTCTCTTCTCCAGACTGAACAACTCCAACTCTCTCAGCCTGTCCTCATAAGAAGGTGCTCCAGATCATCCTCGTGGATGAGAATGAGAAATGGATTAAGGCTTTTTTAAAAAGGGAAGTATTCATTTTTGTCTACTACAAAGCAAAATACCAAGCCAACTCTATGACTTTTTAGAGCACCTAGAGATATTATCAATAAGATAGCAGGTTCCATAACAATATTCTCCTCTCCATGCCATACTAACTTCTGTGTTCCTACCAATCCAGACTTTGAAGTTTTGCTCTACTTAATCAACAAACATTACTTCATAGTAATAAAATAATATGCTATTATATCTCGTATCTTGGTAACCAACTTCTAGCACGCACATATTATTATATCAGCTAACCCTTACTGATGCAAAGAAAATAGGCTTTCAAATACCAACAGCAAGATTTAACCACGTTTTCTGTCCATGCTTTTCTTCAAAAAATCATTATTATGCAGATATAATGGCAAGTCCATACGTGCAAGCAGTTGCTAAAGCACATTCAAAAGGAGAATTAGAACATTTTAAGCCCCTTCGTATCACTGCCAGCAGCTGAACAAACGAGAACCCTGACACCCCCGGAGGCTTCCTCACAGCATATTTCCATAGAGCTACCCTGCCTCGCTTAATAATCTTCCCTAGCAGGTAACATTCATTCTGAACAATTATTGCCCATTATTTCTTTGTCAGAGGCAATACAGCCTCTGAATACTGCAAAGGTCAATCCCCTCACTGAGCATTTGGTATTAGCCAAACATGATTTCTTCTTTAAAAAAAAAAAAAAAAAAAAAAAGGCAAGCCAAGTTTTGTTTACTTTTAAAATTAGAAATAGAATAAAAATTCATCGAAAACTTTATCCTGACAGGATTATTACCTGGTTTTACAGATTACATCTGTCAACATATTTTGCAGACATTTTAATTAAAACCCATAATATTTTTCCAGAAAGTTTTTTCCAATCAAATCTGTGTGATTTACAAACTACGTTTTTTGGTCTTTCTGTATTAAGTAATTTGAGGCTTAATTTTGAATGTGTTGGTCTCATGCCTATCAACATTTTTTCCAACTAAACAAAGCTGCAAATTCTATTAAAAACAAACAAGAAAACCCCAAACTTCTAAGCATTCCAAACACCTGCATCTCAAATATAAAGGTTTACCTGTTTCCTTTATTTTCAAAAGACTATATTGGCAAAGAAAACACCCCAAACCTTTCAAACAGATTTTTCTTAGCAACCTACAATGGAAATTAATGTTGTTCACTGATATATATCTTAAGGGGGTAGTAATACCATACAGAATGTTAGTATTATATTAACCTGAAGAACAGAGAGGCTGTTTCGAACTCCAGCAACAAGCTGTTATGCTGCACCTAAAGATCACATTTAATACTCTCACCTATGGGTGGTCCAGGAATTTACACTAAATCTAAGTCAGAGAAAGAAATGGTTGAAATGTGAAGAAAGCTTTTTTTTTTTTTTTTTTTTCCTTCAATAAGCACTTCCTAAAGTAGCCTGGCCAAGTCCAACAGACAAGAGCTATTCTCTGCTATCCTCCACAAGAGCAGACAACTGAGAATTCCAGAAATTTTAAACAGATTCACAGACACTCCCCTCCCCACGCCTCCCAAAGGAACTCACAAGGTGCTAAAGGTAAAAATGTGCTAGGCTATTTACTTTTGGTATCTTCTTGGCAACACACTGTAATTTTTACCCTTCCATAAAAGAAAAATTTTCCAAAGTGCTGAAAAACTTGGCACAGTGAACATGAAACTAACTTTACACAAAACATCAGCTATGCAGACATCTTTTTGTATTCACTGCCCCTTATTAACATAAAAGATACTGAGAAGTAGAAAAAAATAGTAATATTTTTGTCTCTCAGGTACAAAATTATACATCTGAGATTAAACAATTATAATAGGCACAGCTGGTTGTTTGGGTTTTTTTTATTCTTTTCAACTAAAAGTCAAGGATTGGAAATGGTTGTCATGGGAAGTTTTCAAGACCTGTCTGGATAAGCCCCCAGCAGCCTTATCTGACCTCATAGCTGACACTGCTTTGAACAGGAGGTTGGACTAGAGATGTTCTGAGGTTTCCTCCAACCTGAATCATTCTATGATTCTATGAAAAAATGCACATGCATACTCAAAATTCAGAACAAATCCTTCTCATGCACTAACTATACCTCTAAGGAATATAAAGGTCCAAAGCTAGTAAGATAGCTACAGTGATCTGAACCTCCATAAGCAAGAGAATCAGATCATCATCCATCCCTATCTTGGTAACTTATAAAGAAACAAGAAACAATCAAGGATGATTGTCTAACCATGCTGCAGTAAACAAGTCTAAATTCTGACTTTGGGATGACTTTCATCCCTCCATGTAAACATCAATGATACCTTTTGCATCAAGTTACTCATTATAACCTTTTTAATTAGATATTAGCTATGTACCAGATTTCCCTAAAGCTAGTCTCTATGTATACTAGAAACTGTTTAAACAAAACTGTAATGGAAAAATATTTGTCTTGGGGATTTGTATGTTTGAATTTAGACCTATATAAGTAAAGACAGTGCTAAGCAGTATTGGAGTCCTACTATATAAACACACTCATGGAATCTTACATGCTTTAATCTATTTTTTACATAAACCGAAAATAATCACAGCCATTGCAAAATCAGTGCAACACCACGCAAGTTTATAAGGTGTTATGTCAACATCCTTTTCCTTGGAAGTAGTCTCTCTTCCATTACTTTCATGCCTTAATTTCTGTAACAGCACTATTTCCAAAAATAATGTTGACTCATCTAATGAAACACTACCAGGATGAGCTAGCAGGAAACAATAGCACCAAGGGCAAAGAAAAAGCAGTAGCCTCCAGGATGAGAATAACACAGAATGAAGTCTTTGATTCCACAAAAAGATAGACTGCTTCCTCCAACCTACCTAATTCCACTGGCTTCACAGGAACTGAATTTAACACAATTAAAAGAGAAAAGGTCTCTTTAATTCAAAGTGAAATAAAGCAATTTAAAAGTCTCCACAATAACTATGTGTAATGACCCTATTTTGAAGATCCAAATGCTACTTAGGCTGGACATTGTTCTCTTTACAGTAATGCTTTTTCAGGTTTTAATAGCTAGTTCTTAAAATAAACTATGTTAATAAAATACCACCATAATTTCCATCTTTATCCTACCCCAATGTACTTCACACCAAAACAATTCAACTAGCAAATAAATGTTTCTAGACATCAAATCCCTTTCAAGTCAAAACCTGTAACATTTACACATACAGAATATATCATGACAAATTACCATCCACTACTCTTAGTTATGAAAAAAATACATATGACATAACTTTAGAAGAGGGATATCCAAATGCTTCACCTTCAACAGAATTAAGGAGTTTATTGCTGAGGGCTCTTCACAATACTGTTTAAAAACCCTGTTTATTGCTAAAGTAGACCAAGCCTTGAGCCACATCACCATTTGCTGAGCTTCTATCCAAAATGCTTTAGTAACTGGCAACGTATTTAATCCTCCTCTGGACAAAAATTCATCTATGAGTCTGGCAAGAAAAGAGGTATTTCAGAATGAATGCCAGAAGGTAGTTTATAGAACATCCAGTTCTCAGACACTAAAAAAAAGTTGTGTTATACTGCCTCCCAGTGCACAGCATCTGCCTAAAGCCCAAATGAAAAAAGCTGAAGGATCCATTTTCAACATGGAACTACTAATAATTCCGACTAACAAGATTACAACTGACTTAGAGCCTGTTCCCAAAAGCACTGAAGTTCTTTTGAAAAATTCTGGACAGAAAATAATATTGGGATTTCATTTTAATTTAAATAAGGACCAAAATTGCAAAAGTAAAAACAAAAACCAGGCAAATTCATATGGTGAACTGCTTTTTCATTGAGTACATGTACAACATCTCATATAAGAGAATCTTGGGACAAATCAGGATTTCTAAATAATGGATAAAAAAAAAAGACAAAACACAAGAATTTTACAGCAGATATAATTCCTCTAGGAAAAGGAAGCATCATTTTTAGATTTTTATAAGTAAGGTGACCTAAGCAAAAGCATTTCAAAGTCAAAAATATACACAGATATCTGTTCATGTCTGTGGGCCTCATATCATGTTCTGAAACACTAGTACTTCGAGAATTCAGTCTTCCAATGCTGACCTTTCAAAACCCTAGTTAAAGTAATTTCATAACTGTGTAAGTTAACATCCTGAGATGTTCCTATCTAGCACACTATTTTTTTAATCAGTAATAAATGCATTAACACTGATGTTCAGAAGAATGAATAATAGTCTAATATAGATATTTAGTAATGAGGCTTAAATTCAATGTAATCACCATTTTCAATTCATTCAATACAATTCAATTCATTTCAAAGATCATGAACACACAAAATTGCGGTTTTTTTTTTTTTTTAAATAAGTCATTTAACAAAACCTACAGCTGAATTTTACTGGGAGAAAGAGGCAGGTGTACTTTCTAACATTTTTAAGATTAACATTATTTTTGCTAGCTCCTAAAAAAGTAGTAGGGTCGCTGAGTACAGTTTAATGAAGTCTAACTGGGGCAGTTCACTTATGAGAAATGTCAGACCCATGAAATGAGTCAAGTCCATCAGTCAAAAATAAATGAAAGCAAATGAACTTGATTTGCTCACTTGGACAGTATTGAAGAATCCTGAAAACGCACAACTTATGATTTAACCATCAAAATATGCTGTTTACAAAAACACTGTCACAAGCCAAGATTATAAGACTCCTTAGTAGAATGATTGTAACTTAGCTTTAGACATGCAGGTAACTGATCCCTTTTGCTTAGAGGAACTAATCAAATAAAAACAAATCAGCTTTATAAACAAAATGGAAGAAGGGGAAATACTTACAGCAGTTGGATCCTTCAAATGGAGCTGAGTTGCTGTCACTTGTTTGAAACCACCAGGATAGCTAGAAAAACAGAACAAACATACAAGCTTAAGGCTATATATGCACAAGCACGACATTAACGCAAATATCCGTTTTGAACAACGGTGTAATGGTATTAAGCCTTCAAAAAAGTTGTTCTCATGAGGCCAACAACTATTTTATTAGAAAGATTCTATCTTGTCAAGTACCTCAGTTTAACACCATTTGTACTTTCTTATTTATTCACCTAAGTTTGCGTTTCACAAGTAGATGGCTATGTTTTTAAAACTGCTTATTAAATACACCATGGCAGCTACAGAATACAATGGGAGTAAGATATAAACTTGGAAATCTTTCAAAATGACCAAGACTCACAACCAGTCTGTGGCTAACATGCAAAGCAACCATTTTGAAAAGTATTTTGTATTTTCTTACCATTTTAAGTAAATCTCAGCACGATTTTGCATATCTACTGTTACTGAAATGCATCTGTCTTTTTAAAGTTCATGTGATATGGTAAAGTTCCACTAATTCACATTCATGCATATACTTTAAATGAATCATACAGGAACAAATTACATGGATCTCAGGTAAAGCTGAATTTCATTCTGATTTAATCACTTTATTAGGTATCAACCTAAGTGAAAAGAAAATAAACTCAACATCATTGAAACATGTCCACTTAGGGAGCTGCACAGTAAATGCAGTATTCGTTTTAATTGTATAATTTCTTTCACTTACTCAAAAACAACTTAGGTACTTACAGAAGTGCTTTACCTTACCCATAAGTTTTTAGTGAAAATTTTTAAGCCATAGGGGTGGTGGAGGAAAAAAAGCATGCATTAATTTCCATCAACTCTGAACAAGAACTTTCAGGACTGAAATACTAGCAAAATTAGCTTTCTATGTATGATTTAGTCATCTCCTGACTGGATACATTTTGAAACTTAGAGATTACTATCTGTTGTTATTGTATAAAATAAGAGCAACTGTTCTTATTTGACTGAGTTGATCATTGCCATACCATCTGTAATTGATTATTGCAGTTCCATCTGTAAACAAGTTATGTCTGCCAGAATAATATATTGTACACTATGGTATACATCAGTACATCTTGAGAGCATTTAATTTCTTACTAGTTTTTCCAATTTCTTTTTTTTTTTTAATTCATCCTCTGATTCAATAATATATCAATCTTGATATTTACTGTTAGGTAAACGTACTGGTAGGATAAAACAATTGAATAATAAAATAATTGGCAACTGTGTATATCTTAAATGTGCAGTGCCAAAAGAAATGTCTTCTACTGCTTAGTAAATAGAATAGTCCTGATCCTTGGGTTCATGGGTTCACACAAAACAACGTGGCTCACCAAAACTGTTAACTTACTCAAATGCTCTGACTATTTTTGAGTTAGATTATTTCTCTAACAACGTACACCAAGGGAAAAAAAGGGAAAAAAAGAAAAAAAAAAAAAAAAAGGTTTGCATCATTTTAAACACATATGAAGACAAAACACATAAGCAGGAATTCCCTTTTGAAACAATATGCTAAAAATGACATGAAATTTACCACTAGCTCTTTTGAATATTTATTGTAAAGCTTACCCAGTATGTGATGAATATACCTTCTGTTCCCATTTGTTTCCAGAGAAGGCAATATGTCTTGTATTTATTATGACAACATGATCTCCACAGTCACCTACAAAGTAGAAATTAGTGGAAAGTATTAAGAGAACCATAGGAGTAATCAACCAAAATATCAACTACAAAGTGTGTGATACATAGTAGCACATAAGTACACATTTCATAAAGCTCAAATTTTACAGACCTGAGTTTTTTGAGCCACACCATCCAAATCTGCACTTAAACACCAACATTAATTACTATTCTTGTTAATAGTCAGGTTAGAATGCAGGTGAGCAGGTAAAATACCATCAGACTAAACAATTAAACCACAACAAATACCCAGCTGAAATCTGGTTTACAGGGAAGTATATTCTTTTATTCAACACATTGTGCTGCATATGCAGCTATATTTCAAAAAACTCAGAATAAAAAAAGGCTAGTTCTAAACAGTGATCTTAAATATTTGTTTTAGTTTTCTCATAAAACAGTACCAGTGTTTACTGGAGGACTGAATATTTTGGATAAGTAAAATAATTCTATTAAATTATTACAATCTAGAGCTAAATATATAAAAGAAACAAAATGATTGGGGGTGGAGTGGGGGGAGGAAAGCCCCACAAAAAACCTGAAACAGCTCTGTTGGGAAAAAAACCCCACATTTTCATCTATCAAGCAGAAGTGAATGCTACAGCACACATAGATATGTTTATGTTTAGTGTTATATCAGCAATTTTCACATCAAAATGCAAAGTCTACAGTCTATCACCAATAGCTTGCCAGATACAGTTACTTTAATAGATCTTCTTTAATAAGTCTAATAAAACCCATACTATCTAAAAAAAATGATGAAAATATGTAGGTTTTAATTTCAGAACTAATCATCCTGATCAGCTTTATAAGCTATAACCACCCATTCAATTGGAAAATTATTTGTCCAAAGTTCACTCTCATATGCATTACCATATTTTGAAGAGGCTCATTTGATTACAACATTTTGGAGTACGTAAAAAATCACAGAATCACAGAATGGTTTGGGTTGGAGGGGACCTTAATGATCATCTAGTTCCAACCCTCCTGCCATGGGCAGGGACACCTTCCACTAAAGAGTCCCTCCCCATCTTTCCTGTAGCCCCCTTTAAGTACTGGAAGGCGCCTGTAAGGTCTCCCTGGAGCCTTCCCTTCTCCAGGCTTAACACCCATAACTCTCTCAGCTTGTCCTTGTAAGGGAGGTGCTCCAGCCCCCGATCATCTCTGTGGCCTCCTCTGGACCCACACGAGCAGGTCCATGTCCTTCTTATACTGGGGGGCCCCAGAGCTGGACACAGCATGGGAGGTGGGGTCTCACAAGAGCAGTACTCTGCCCTACTGAGGGGCAGAATCCCCTCCCTCAACCTGCTGGTCAAACTTCTGTCAATGCAGCCCAGGACACAATTGAGTTTCTGTGGCTGTGAGCGCACATTGCTGGCTCATAGTCAGTTTTACATCCACTACTACTCCCAAGTCCTTCTCCGCAGGGCTGCTTTCAATCCACCCATTGCCCAGCCTTCATCTGTGCTTGGGACTTTCTCCATCCACGTGCAGATCCTCGTACTTGGCCTTGTTGAGGTTTGCATGGGCCCGCCTCTCAAGGCCTGTCAAGGACCCTCTGAATGGCTCACCTACACCTGCTCACAATACAACATAAAGAACCAGATCTCCCAATTTTTTTTAAAATCTGGCCCACCGGTTTTAGTTCTGTATTGTGAAGCCGCTCACAAATACAAGATGCAAGAGGATGAGGGTAGAGAAAAAGTGAGGTGCAGAAAAAACAAAAAAATCCAGATTCAAACCTCCTGAACAAGGTTATATCCCTTTATTTAGGGCATATGGTCTGACAGCATCTAAAAATACGTGACTCTGGAAAATAATGAAAGATTATCCTTAAAACTGAGAGTAATATGCATTAAACAAATTTCTTCCCTTCCTTAACCACAGCTTAAATTCAGCTCCAGATACTTTTCAACACAATAAATAAATAATAATTTTATGGGGAGGTATCTGGATACCAAATTAAAAACAAAACAAAAATCCCCAGAATGTTTTTCTATCTAAGGAACTGTTACCTTACAGACACTAAAATATTTCTTGTTAGTTCAGAAAAAAAGAAAAATAGAAAAAAAAAAAGAAGTGTTAAGTACAGCAACCACAAATTCATGCATACTCTACCCTCTTAGCGAGTATCAAATATCTCAGTAGTAGTAACCTATCAATGTCAGTCTCAGGTGTAATGCATTTGGTACTGATTTATGGAATAGTTTAGAACAAATAAAGTTATCCTTGAAATGACTTTCCAGGATTTTTTAACTTCATGGACATAAAGTACCAAATAGCTTTCCCACAGGACGACCAAAAACATTTCCTCTGTGTCTGCTTTATGTTCCAGACAGCCTTAGTCTCCAGTGACATCTTGTGGATAGGACATAATTTGCAACAGCAGAACTCAGTATTTAGAACATCTTTAGAACACTACAACTACTACCTTCTATTATGAAAAACAGATGGAGTATAATTTTAGTATGTACACTCTACATGTATGAGCAAAGTTTAACTCCTTTATGTTTCATAATGTCTCTTGAAAAGTTTGCACGCATATTACAGAAAACACTGTATCATCATTATGAGGGACCACCTTTTTATTATCTGTAAAATGCTTATCACCGCAACACAAGCACTACAGTATTACAAGTAAGAACAAGATCACAGACACATCTTTACTGCTGAATCTTTTAATTTGCAGCAAAGCAAAATTATTTTTTCATTTAAACAAGAAGATATCTTTCAACAATGAGTACATCTCCCTCCCATTTAAGAAATGGACACGTTTCAGCCTCATCATCATCACAGAATGTCTGAGGTTGGAAGGGATCTCTGGGGGTCATATTGTCCAACCCCCCCCTGCTCAAGCAGGACCAGTGTTTGAGTATTTTTAAGGATGGAGACTCCACAACCTCCTGGACAACCATTTCCAGTCACCCTCACAGTAAAACATATTTCCAGATGTTCAGAGGGAACCTCCTGTGTTTCAGTTTGTGCCCACTGCCTCATCAAGACAGGGCTTCTCTGGACCTTACTCAGAATGAAGAACCACTCCAAGGCTCCACAGTGTTGTGCAGCTACTGAAATGTAGCATTCAGAAAACCTAATCAAGAAACACATCAGTGTTCCGTTATGTGCACTATGATTTAAATCTTTGCATCTAAAATCAGTACATCAAAACACATGTCAAGGTTTTAAAAAAATAAAACCACAATATACTGCAATTCAGCTACTTAAAATAAATTATGAATTCATAATGACCTTTATATGGATTGGTAAAGACAATGACATAAGGTTGTAGAGGAGTATGAAGGAATAAGATGAGAAGAAAAATTAAAATATTCATAATTTACAAACAACTGAAAAATGTAACATGTATCAGACTTGATTTTAAAACTTAAATCAGAAGAAAAATGCTAGTGAAGGAAAGCAAATTTACTTATATCTATTGCAATACTCACTTAGTGCATGATAAATAGGTTTATGCCTGCCTTCAAGTCTGAGTACAGTCGCAGCTGCTATCTTCCCTGGTGGCTGCATCTTCGCATCGAGAAGGTACCAGGCTCTGGCAAAAGTTGCCCATTGCTAAAGAGAAAGAGAGGCAGTACTTAACATAGTAAAAAAACACACTACTATACATAAATCTAACTTCTCTAATGAGATTGATGCTTTTTGGACACTCCAAAATGCTAGAAAAAATATTAAGAACGCCTCCTCCAAATAACGTTTAAATAAATGGACAGAGAACGCTGCGATACAGCCAGTGCCATATGTGCTTCCAACGTCTGTGGCTGCAACAACACTGAAAGGTTTAACAGCTCTGAGGGCTTTCTTTCAGAAGTAAAGATCTCTTGCTGCAAGCTTCCGTGACTGCCAACTGCCCTGTAAACTCACGACAGGCTGCTTAACACCCAACACCTCTTTCCCTCTCAGCGAAGGGAAATCTCCCCCCAAACGTACTTTTATGAACACGAACGGCCTGGGCCGCCCTCAGCGGGTAGCCCTGTCCCTCACAGGCACTCCCGCACCCACCGACGCTGCCGGTTCCCGCCAGCGGGCCCCTCAGGGCGCACAGCGGGCGCAGGCCG